AGACTTGTCGTGCCCCTCACTTAGGAACACTGAGGCAAAGAACTTGTTGAGGAGTTCAGCCTTGTCCCCCCTGTCCGTCACCAATTGTTTCTGCCCATTTAGCAGGGGTCCTATTCCTCCCTGGGCCTTCCTTTTACTCCCTATATATCTAAAAAACAATTTCTTGTTGTCCTTTACTTGGGATGCCATCCTCAGCTCCATGGTAGCTTTGGCCCATCTAACTGCCTCCCTACAAGCACAAGCAGAGGAGGTATATTCGTCTTTGGTGATCTCTCCCTGTTTCCACTTTTTATGTGCTCCCCTTTTGGCCCTTAGGCTGCCCTGGATTTCTGCGGTCAGCCAGGGAAGCCTCCTGGTCCCTTTCCCTCTTTTACCCCGCATGGGGATCATCTCGCTTTGTACCCGAAGGATCGTTTCCGTAAGGCACAGCCACCCTGCTTGGGCTCCCATCATTTCAAAACTCCTACTCTGCAGTGCGTCCTTGACTAATAGCCTGAGTTCATTTAAATCAGCTTTCCTAAAGTCTAGCACTTTCACCCTACTAGTTATCTTATCCACTCGACGTCTTATGGTGAATTCTATTATTAGGTGATCACTGAACTGTATGTTTCATAGAGGAAAGAAAATAGCTGTATAACATAGCTGGGCCACACTATAATTAAACTATATGGACCAGGTCCTCAGCCTGTAAATTGCCTCCATTTGTTGTAACCATGCTTCCTTGATTTACACGTTCTGAGAATCAATACCAACAACTTTATTAGTGTTGATAGGGCCTTAGATATCACAAGTGCTGAGCTTGCTCCCTCTACAACAGTCCCATACTGTGATAGTAAGAGAGTAGGACAGTGCACTTGAATCATTTCTGTAGCATTCTCTGCCATTGACTATTCTCTTGACCATCTCTTACAGTCTCGAGAAGTTTGCTGTCTAGAAGTACAGGTGGATGAAGGAAAAAAGGAGACGGATCATAGAAGTAAGACTTATTAAGTAGTTATAACTGTATGACTGAAATTGGAAAAGTGGTAGATAGTGTCTCCATGTACTGGAAGAAGAAGGTATTCTACTGCTCATGGTCCTGTAAAAAGACCATACTGGCAAAAGATGCCTGTTCTATCCACTGGTAAAGGAGAATCTTGTATACCTTTCTGCAAGTGCCATTAGCAGCTAAAAGCTAGGCAGATTTCAGGAGAGAAAAGATCAGATGATTTTAATAGCTCAGACACATCACTGTATCACTGTCTGTCTGCTGTGTTGCAAACAGACAAAGATGATCTCACCCAGCTGAATCTGCCCTCATTTCATTGTTCTGAATCAGGATACCGCATCCCATCCTTTCCTGTCTGATAGCCTTCTCTTTGTCTCTCTGAACATCTTGTTGTGGTGTCCCCAGACAGGTAGCTGTAGTCTTCCTGGCTATCCTCTAAGAAACTGCCTACCAGAAGAACTTACTACTGTAATTGAAATAGATTTGTGGTGAATTAAGTACACGTGGACTTATTTATTTGCTTTGTGCAAAACTTACCATTATCAATCTGACTGCAACCTAGACTAACTCCAACCTGATATATCTGGCCATTCATGAATTAACTGAAGGAGACCAAGTGTCAGTGCAGAATCTTCTCACAGTTATCATTTGGGTTTGGAAAAATCTTAACTCCTGTATTAAAAACTCCTAGGGCACATCCAGATGAGCATGGACCTTTGTTTCCCCAGGGACAAGTAGCAGTGGCACACCATGTGTGGGAAATGCCTGGGGATTGCCTATGCTGGCCCCAGGGGAATGCCCTAGGGAATGCCCGTGCTGGCCCCAGCAGCCTTACCTGGGGTCCTCCCAGGGCTGCAGCCATGGCAGGAAGCTTGGCTGGCAACCGGAGTGTGGCTCTGACTAGCCAGGCTCTGGTTTGGGGCGGCATGAGCTGCCGCCATGTGCGCCACCCTGCTTTTTTTCAGCATGGATTTTTTTTGATCCCAGGATCTCCCAGGGTCAACTCCCCCCGACCTGTGCTGCAGGCATCCCCCACACTGCTACCTTGCATGTGTGGTGTGTGGCACCACAGTGGGTCTCTGGCATCACATACCACACGTCCATGCTCTTCTAAATGTGGCCCTAGTGTCCAGTTGAATTCATGTCATCCTGATAAACCTAATGAAAGCTGCTTTGGAGTCATTCAATGAATTTCAGTTCCTAGTTTGTAGGTATCTCAGCTCACAGACTGAATGACTAAGACATCTAATGACCAATTTAAATTACACCAAATTATAAAAGATTACAGTTATGGAACAGTCTCATTCCTTCCCAATAAATTAATTCTAGGTGGTGCTAGAATTTCATCTTAATTAACCCATCATTATGTCAGCATTTTTTCTGGACATATATGTCCATTTAAATGCAGCCATTCTTCATCACCATTTAATGTTAAGGGGCCATTTAAATGAATACAACAGAGCAACAATCAATCATCAAATTGATCAAACAATAATTTGGGGAGGTATTTGTACTTTACACTTTTGTTCAAAAAAGAACCCAAACCAGTTCCAATTCTGGACTCACTCAAAGGTGACTTTATTTTTATTTAATTTTTTTTTTTGGGCATCTCAAGTGATCTTGTGAGAATCCTGAATGGATAGTATTTTTATGGTGGTGAGGGGCAGGGGAGCGGGGTGAGACTCCTTCATTATGATCCAATTTTTACGTAGCTCAAGGAAAGCCATTTTGAAATACCGAGTTTTCATCTAAACATGATCCACAGTGTTACTGCAGAGAAGCACAATAAAAACAAAAAGTAAAAGTAGGGAGAAATAAATATTGAAAGTTAAATGTTGGCCCTATGGAAGTCAAAACTATTGGCTACCATATCTGTCATTGACTTCTGTAGGGCTAAGATTTCACTTAGAGCATTTTTAATTGCTTGTGTAAAGGCTTTTCTGGGAAGGTATTGTTAACATTCCCCGCATGCTTTGTTTCTTTTTTTTAGAGAGAGATTTCACGTTCACAGTGGAAGGATCCTATGAAGGAACGAAGAAAGTTTCATTAGACTCTAGCAGCCCTGCTCTGCTAGATGCTGCCATATTCCACTATGTGAAGTACAGTCGATCAAAATTGGATATTACTCTGCCAAAGAAGAGATTTTTCTGTGATGTAGGTCACTGATAACATATAGTTAAAACAACTAAAATAATTGTAGGAAGCATCATAAATGTGTCTTCATGTGGCAGTTTGGTAGCAATGGGATTCTAAATAATTTTCTTCTCATGAAAATCTTCTATTTTTATATATATGTATTTAGTATAGGACAGATGAAAGGGAAACGGATATAAAAGGTCCCCTGACTGTGCATCTGAATTCACTTAACCTGGGAGAGAAAGTAACAGTAGTGCAGGTGAGTACCAGCTGCCAGCCTTTTGGAATAACTAATGAACAATATGTACATGGTTTCTAGATATGTTGTTAATAATATTATTAAAGATTACAATCACTTTATTCTTATGGATCATAAGAAAATAGGGCTGGAAGGAACCTCATAAGGTCATTGATTTCAGCCCCCCATCTCAAGGAAGGGTCATCCCTGACTAAACCGTTCCGGACAAGTGTTTGCCTAACTTGCTCTTAAACTTTCAAGGATGGTGATTTTACAATTTCTTTAGGTAGCCTGTTCTTATGTTTGACCACCTTCACAGTCAGGAATTTCCTCCTAATCTCCAACCTAAATTTCCCCTGCTGCAGTTTGAGGCCATTGCTCTTAGTCCTGTCCCCTACAGTCACAGAGAAAAGCCCATCTCCATCCTATCTGTAATTGTCCTTCAGGTATTTGAAGACTTAAAAATCTTCTCAGTCCTTTCTTCCTCAGACTAAATAACCCTAGGTTTTTTCAGCCTTTCCTCATAAGTATTGCCTCCCATGCCCCTAATCATTTTTGTTGCTTTGTGTTGAATTCCTGCCAAACTGTCCACATTCTTTTTGAAGTGTGGGGCCCCAAACTGGACATAATACTCCAGGTGAGACCTCACTAGTGCCGAATAGAGTGGAAGAATCACTTCACTTGTTTTGCATGAGATGCTCCTGTTAATACAACCTAGTATGGTGTTGGCTTTTTTTTTTTTCTTCAACAAGAGCACACTGTTGGCTTGTATCCAGGTCATGGTCTACTGTAACCCCCAGGTCTTTCTGTGCAGTACTTCAATCTAGGCACTCTGTCCCCAGTCTGGATGGAGCAAGTGACTGAGAATATTCTCCTGTAAATCGTGTAGTAATATTGAAACCAGATTTATCACTTAGGGTGTATACGAGCATTACATTTCTACTAGTGGAATTGAAGTCCACTGATAAAAAATATGTATCTAAGTGCTCAAGAGTTTTCACTGGACCAAAAATGGTGGGTCTCATAGGAACTTCTTCATATGATGCTATAGAAGTTGCCTCCAGTAGAGTTTCTACTAGTTAAATGAACACTTGTACACTTACACTATTGATAGAAGTCTCTATGCTGTCCTCCAGGGTCCCAGCGTGGATTGCTTTGGTCCCCCCTCCCTCCAGGGAGACAGGCTGTGACTAGGGTTGCACTTTACTGCTGTAGCCTGAGACATAGCAAACCCATGACAGCTGAGAAGCTAGGAAAGCCCAGTCCCTCTTCACAGTCCCAGGGCCATGAAGCTGTGCCAACCCAGGTAGGCAGGGGAAATCCACCTGCCAGCACCCCCTGACCCACTAACCACTCCCACTCCCATGAACCTGGACCCAGACCCTTGCAGGGGCACACAGCATGCGTGTGCACATGTGTATATGCGTTACCTGTGCACGTGTACATGCATGTATGTGTATGTGAGCATGTATGTGTATGTGAGGGACCCTGTAGGGATTGTATATAAGGGAGAGGGAGACCCTCCAGGGACACTGTGTGGGTGTGAGACTGTGTTGCTGGGGCCATTGTATGCAAAACTCCATTTCAAATGGTAATTACACTTCTGATATTTTCATTCTTGATTCTCAGAACAAAACATATGGGGTTTATGTGAAAGCAGAAGAGTGGTAAGTCTTTCACTTATTTCCAAGTATTATGTTGACCCCAGTCTATGTAATCCTAATCTGTTTTTTAGAAGAATATGACAATGTTTTAGCTTTCTGCCATCACTTCAAAATGAAGCAAGCTTTAAATTGACTCAGTCAAAAATTGAAATACAGTACAGGGCTAACAAATGATTAGCACAGATTTTACTAAATTATTTACTCAGATCATATAGACCATGGCCATACAGCCCCCAGGGCAATCCTGGGAGCGCAGCTGAGAAGCTTGGCCTGCCAACTTACTAGGGGTGCCAAAGCCTGCAATGCAGTCATTGTAGATGGTTTAGAGCAGCACTAAATACACATTCTAGCACCACATTCATGTTTCCGGAGAACCTGAGAGTGCACTTAGGCCTGCTCTATACTGTTTACACCACCTAATTTGCAGGTTTGACTATACATAGAGAAGGTCTGAGGGGGTAGGGCAGGGCTCCCAGGTCTGCCCTGCAGGGCTAGGGATAGAAATTATACATAAACCCGTATAAGTGATCAGAAACTGGCTCAAATCTGTAACACAATAGAAGTTAAGTGCACATAAACTGCTTTCAAATTGGCCAAAACCAATTTAAGATAAACCTGGGTGGATGTAGCATCAGACTTAACTGACAGGTTAAATCAGTCTATTGAATTTCTGTTCCAGATCCCTTCCAGATTCAAGCTGTCTATTCCAGCCAAGCAGGGAGGCATGCTCTAGTGCCGCCACCCCCCCCCCCCCCCCACCCTCTCGCCCGGCGGCGCGCCACCGCCTGGCGTGGGTCACTGCAGGCACGTGGCTGCATTTCTGGAATCAAAAGTGAATGTCCATTCACTTGCTTATCAGTTCAGTCTACACAGTTTAGGCTAACCTGCAAAGATTGAATTGACTCAGCCTCAGGGTTTTTGACTGTCTGTACTTAGCCCAGGTGGTATAGATGTGGCTGTAGAAAGCAATGGGTGACTAACTAGCTTGAAACAATAGCTTTATACAAAGTATGGACAAACTGTTTGTAGCAGGATGGTCTAGCTCTTTAAATGAGGAAGCTGGTAGAAGCCCAGCTGTCAGTGTTTAGCTGGCAGTTAAAAGCCCAAGCAGAGAAAGAGCAAAGGGCTTGAGCTGGGAGAAGGAGGCAGGAAGCAGACTGAATCCAGAGAGGCTCACTTCTAGGAATGGTCAGGACTAAAGGGCCCTCTCCTGCTGCCTGGAGAAAGGCTAAAGATTTGCTTTACTCATTTGTTTGTTTGGACCAAGGATTAATGTTTTGTGTTCCAAAGACTGGTTGAGGGGGCTCCCAATGGAGCAAAACCAGACAGTGAGGCTGCAAGCACAAGCCCACTTATAAACTATGGTTTGGACTGTCTGAAAGACTATTAAGGGGACAAAGCCTGCCTGCATGACAGCAGGTTTAACATTCCCTTCCCTCGAAAAACATCCCATATACCCAATAATTTCACCATTTTGTATGTGACCGCTGCAGTAGAAAGGGTAATTTGTAATCTGAAACTTTTATGTCCATTGTCCTACACAGCATGGGGGCAATGTAACTCTTTTATATGACAAGAGCTGAGAATTGGACCTACTGAAATTTTGATAATTGCGTGAAATATTTTAGGCCATGTTACCAGTGTAATGTCTAATCATGAGGGTGGAAGTATAGGACTCAGATATTCTCACACTTTCTGCACCTATATCTTTTGTCTTATACAGGAGAGTGGGAATTGCTTTTCTGTTAACCCGATTCTTTTTTTTTTTTTTTGTTGAATTTGTTCAATATCTGCTCTGAAGAGCTGAAATTGATTGATTGATTGATTGATTAATATATGCTGTTTGTTCTGGCCTATGCATTAGTCACAAGGACCTGGATGTGCGCTTGGGGTTTGACCTGTGTGCAGAGGAACAGGATTTCATTTGTAAAAGGAAGAAAGTGGTTGCTGCTGCTTTGAAAAACGTTCTGCAACTTGAGGAAGATCTGCAGGATGATGAGGTATGAAGGGCAGAATCCTCGGTGTGGCACATACTCCAAGTGACTGACAGATTGATCATTAAATGAAGTGTGGGTGGTGGTATGTTTTTTGTGACAGAATTTATGCCTCTCTAGAACTTTCTGGATAAAATGTATGGGAGAGATTCTCTATTGCCCCAAGATTGGATTGGTATGGTGGGCGGGAGGAAAGCCATCAGGAAATTGGTTATGACTCTTTGATTCTCTATTATCTCCACTGTAGCTGTAGTATAGGCTACAGCACTTGGTGCTAACTGGCAACTGTCTTCAAAAAATCAGTCTGCCATTTTTACATCCATAATGGAGTTGTGGCATAAATATACATGTTATGATCTCATTCACTAGGTAGCCACTTGCCTTGGTACTTCCTGAGGTCTCTAAGCTTAGGAAGGCTAATGGTGAGAATTGCTGATACAATACAAATTAGAGCTGGGAGGTAAAGTTGTCCCTACAGTGAAGATGGAAAAGTATTTCTTTTGGAAACAGGACAATAGGATACAAGAGAAAAGTTGGTATAGAGACCAGTTGCCTTCAAGCCTCTTTTCTCTATACAGACACATTTTGCATGTTGGCAGAGGGTATGAGACATTTCTTTCCCATCATGTGAAATTATGGGAAACAATTAACTACATGAACTATGTTAATATGTGAGCGGTGCTATACTTTCTTCCCTTTCTGTCAGAGGCAGGCTACTGGGTTAACTGAACCAATGATCTGCTTTAGACTTGCAATTCCTGTATTTCTTTGACCTTTATGTGATGCATTATTCATTTATCAAGAAAATCCCTAACCAATGAGGGAACCAACTATATATTATTAAATCCCCCAAAGAATACTCTGCAAAGACACCAATTTTGTGCAGCTGTGAAAATGTGATCCTAAAATGGACCAGATTCAGTATTTCCAGTAAAGATAGTAAAATGTTAATGCTATTGTAGAAAGTACAGCTGAGACCTCATTTAGAATATTGTATACTATTCTGGTCATCTATATTCAAATATGATGAACTCAAGCTGGAAGAGCTGTAATTAAAGATCAGTGATGGGATGTCCAGGGAAGTCACAGTGTTCTGCCAGGGGTTTATCTGTCTGTCTTATAGGCAACAGCATCACTATAAACAGGTGGTCGTGTATGTGACATTGGTAGAGGTGCAGGTAAATGAACTTTGGATGTTATAATAATGTATTTGATCCAATGATGATGTGGTCTGTGTTGATGAGGGGGCACAGCAGGCACCTGGGTCCAGACCAAGGTCTGTGGCCTCATTGAGAAAAGGAGTTGGGTACTTTGCTACTAACAAGACTCTGTTGAGATTGGGAGGCTGCATGTAAGCCAGAACAGGTTTGTCCCCCATGGCTACCTTGAGATGGTCATCATTTTCCAGGAGGGGTTGGATGTCATTAATAATGACCATTTCTACAATGGACAGATAGGGCAATCCCTATTTGTAAGAATGAATGAAAACCAACCTAGCTTCAATACCAGAAAGACAGAAAAAACCAGTGGCAGGACACTAACCTCCCTGGACACTCCATTGCTGACCTCAGAGCGGCTGTTCTTAGATGACAAAACTTAAAAAAATGAACTTGAATTGGAAATTGTTGAACAAAAAATAATCAACAGACTGCATTGTGTTAAACATGGTCTAAACCAAGACTATGGATTATTACTCATTACTTGGACTACATTTTATAAACCCAGTGTCTCTCAATGGGTTAACTGTTTTGTTTTTCTCTCTCCTACTCAACTTGCCTCTCTCAGCAGTGCCCCTTCTTTTTCCTCCCCTTTCCCCTCCCCTTTATATTCTAATTACTGCTTTCTATTTAGAAGCTCTGCTTCCTGCAGTCCTTTCACAGCATCTGATGTAGTAAGAATTCTTCTTACAAAAGCTAATGCTATAAGTCTCTGATTGTTTAGTCTGTAAAGGTTCAAATCTATCTGGCCTTGTGTTTTCTATAAATACATCAGGGTGAATATCAAAGAAGGAAATGAGCTATTTAAGCTTAAATGGTCACACTGGGTGCATCTACATGTGCCCTCGATTGTGCAGTTGTTACTGCGTGGTCATTTAGTTACTTGCCTTAGCAAGTACTAAGTGACTGTGCAGTAACTGGTTTTACTGTGCCGTCCTCACAGTGCACAGGTCATTTCCAGCCCTACTGCGCAGTAGCAGTGGTATCATGGTTTATGCCCACTGATGTTATGTTGCCATAAAGATGAGCTATGTTGCCGTAGCTTGTTGCTGTGGGAACGTAGCGTCTTGTGTAAGCATGTCCATTGAAGAGATTCAGTATTACTGTATATGAACACGTTATCAGTTCTCTCCTCTGTTTTAAATGTTTATATATAATTGCTTTTAACCAATTCTCTGCCTCGGTGTGTTAAACAGGTACCAGTGGTGGCAATCATGACAACAGCAGGTGGAGTGCGATCCATGACAGCTATGTTTGGAAGCCTTTTGGCTCTTCAGAAGTTGGATATCTTAGACTGTATTTCATATATTGCTGGTTTATCTGGCACAACATGGTAAGGAGAACATGATCAGAATTTTAATTTGCTTTTGATGTATGTTGCTGCTGCAGAGTGGTCATTCTACCTTTCCTAGGGCTCTTACACAGCTTTATACTGATTAGAACTCTGACTTCTTAAATGTTGCTTCCCTACAACCCAGTCTCTATGGGTATCTTTATGTGTTCTCCAGGGATGGGAGTGCTTTAGAGAAGCTGAGAGCCACTCTAATTAAAGTGCCCACAGCATCTTGTGTATTCCTCATTCTGCACTTCAAAATAGCAGTGGGGGCACTTTAACTAAAGCTTGTTTGACTGACTTTAGTTAAAGTGTCCCCACTGCTATTTTGAAGTGCAGGGACATTGAATACACAAGACATGGAGGCTGCTGGAGCACGCTAATTAGTACACTCCAGCAGACTTGATTAATCAAGCCTACTCCGATGCACTGTAATTACAGCACATCAGAGCAGTATCCCTGCGCATTTACAGGCACCCAATATGTCTACTCTTCAAATGCAGTAGTTTTCATTCAGTTCTCTTATAGCTAGAAGCACATTAGGTGATTCTTACAGTAGCCTCTGCATTGCGCTGAAATGTTTACAAATTGGACAAATACCTGGCTGGGATCAACTGATCCCAGCACTCTTT